TGTGTGTGTGTGTGTGTGTGTGTGTGTGTGTGTGTGTGTGTGTGTGTGTGTGTGTTAAAGAACCAATAGACAGAGAACCTCCCCCCACCCCCGAAACTGTCTCAGAGGCTTCAGCTTAGCACAAACAGTGGGTCCTTGATGCTTGATGTGGCCCAGTTCCAGCTGCCATCTACCTGTGTGCCCATCCATCTGTCCCTTTATCCGTTCAGACAGTCTGCAGCTCACCTCCATGCTGCCACACCTCTGCAGTTAGGATCAACCCCTGTTGATCAGGTTTGGTCAGACCCAACAACTCGGGACCCCAGGTCAGCTCTGCCTATCTCCCAGAAGTTCTCCACGTAGACATGTTAATATCTCATCCTCCTGCAGTGATTCTACATCTCTGTCAGATTTCTGCCTCTGCCTCCAGTAAGGCCGCTTTCTGTAACATATTTACATATATGTGTGTGTGTGTGTATTTATAGCATATATGTAATATACCTATTAGTACACACATGCACACACACATATTCAACTGTGTAGCATGTACTGTGTGTTCTGGGTTAATATTGGTTACTAAGATTATAATAAAAGGACCTGTGATTGCCAACAGCCAGCTTTCCAGGGAAATCAGGACTACTTGGTAAACTACAGTCAGTGAAACCAGTGACGCCTGTGAATTTACTGTTATTCAACAAATCCAGACATTATGGAAAGATCTAGATGTACCCATCTATGTTTCTAGTGGACCATGCTCATGACAGTTACCCTAAAATTTAAATTTCTAATTCTATGTGAAGGGACAGCTACAGATTACAGACTGGACAAGAGGGAGGACAGCGGGAGGGGCAGGCCTTTGCTGAAACCGTTCAGGGAAGACCGTATCATCCCAGTAAATCCTAACTTTGTGTGCATGCCTATGAACACACACACTCACATGCACAGGCGCTTGCACACACACGCTTCACTGTGCTGGCACATGTAGAGGTCAGAGTTGATGTGATGTTTCCTTCAGTAGCTCTCTCTCACCTTAATTTCTGAGACAGGGTCAGTCTCTCACTGAACCTGGGGCTCACCAGTTCCCAATGCTGGGGTCACAGACACACGCCTCACACTTGCATGTAAGAGAGTGCTGGGAACCCAAACTCGGGTCCCTGCGCTCAGCACCAGCTTGCTCCTGAGCCATCACCCAGCCCTATGCATTACGTATGTATTTAATTTCTGTCTTTCTTTAGTTCGTTTAGATCTGTTCTGTGGTGGGGCAGCGGTGGCGCACGCCTTTAATCCCACCACTTGGGAGGCAGAGGCAGGTGGATCACTGTGAGTTTGAGGCCAACCTGGTCTACAAAGCAAGTTCCAGGACAGCCAGGGCTACACAGAGGAACCCTGTTTCAAAAAATCAAAAAACAGAAACAAACAAACAAAACCATTCTGTGGTGTGATTTTCTTATTGGAAGAATAGGATCTGAACTGTACGCATCGCTGACCCTGGGTGGAGTCATGACTTTCTGAACTGTCAGGAAGATCGTGAGATTACCATCTGGCAGGAGGCTTTTAGATGAAGAACAAGGACAGGTCATCGTCCCCTCCCTTAAGAGTTAACTCCAATAGGCCTGTCAATCACCAAGAGAGAAGACACTGCTAAGGAACAGGCCTGTGCTAGTGACTTGGGATCGGAGATCAATGAGCTTGCTGTTCTCAAGAGGACCTGAATGTGGTCCCAGCGCCCACACCAATCAGTTCACAACCTCCTGTGATTCTAGCTCCAGGGGACCTGATGCCTTCTTCTGGCCTTTGTGGGCACTGCACCCGGCACATAAACCCCCACAGAAACACACATACATATGCGTATGCATGTAATTAAAAATAAACTCCCTAACCAGGACAGTGGTCTGGTGCTGTGACCATTGTCACTCACTCTTCAGAACAGTGTCAGTCTCTCCAGTGGCCCCTTTGATCATCGTCCAACCTGGAGTTACAGGTGGTTGTGAGCCACTCAACGTGAGTGCTGGGAACCATTTTTGGGCTCTCTAGAACAGCAAATTCTCTAAACTGCTGAGGCGCCTCTCCAGCCCCCTCTCATACTGTTTTTGTTTGAGGTCGTGGGGACTCAAAAGCCCAGGACTGTTTACCTGCTACACAAGTACTCTACCACTGAGCTCCATCACTCACCCAGCGTTTACATCGTATTTACCCAGTGCTACCCAGCGTTTACATCGCCTCTTGCTGGCACTTCTTCCCATGCTCACCATTTCCCTTTGAATAAAAGAATTCAGATTTTCAGGGGCTTGATTAGCAGGGTGCTACCCAAGCCATTCTTGGAATTTTGACTTCTTGGGTGTTACTTACATATCTCCCAAAACTTACCAGAGTGATATGTGGATTGAAACCTAGGGCTTACCAAAAATGTTTCCAGAAGGGTTAGAGAGCCAGCTCCGTGGTTGAGTGTTTGGTTCCCAACACCCACACTGGATAGCTCCCAACTACATATAACTCCAGCTGGGCCCTGAAGGACAAGCCAACCAGCTTCCATCCGCTGCCCATTGCAATTAGCATGTTGCCAAGTTGAGTCCATGGAACAAAGCCGAAGACTTCTGAGGACTGGAGAGGGTCGGCCTTCTCTGTTTTCCCCAAAAGAGAGGAGGAAGCCAGAGGCCCTTCGACACATGCGACTGTCTTCCAACCATAGACATCAGCGTCAACACCAGAATGATGCTGAGAAGGAACAGGGGAGAAAGGATGGAAAGGCATATAGAGTGTGTTCCATGATCCAAGCAGGCCTGAAGGGTCCCATACTTCCAGAATTGTCACTGGCCGTGACTGGCAGGGACCCCTCCTTTCTTTTGCTCTCCAGTGTATCCCCAGCACAGAGTAGGTTCTCAGTTTCATTTGCCAACTGAAGAAACATGAATAAGATCACCATGCTGTGATGGCTCATCTTCATCATCACCTTGACAGGATTTACAGTCACCAGGGAAACACTTCCGGGTATATCTCGGGAGAAACTTTCAGAAAGCTTTAACTGAGGAGGGAAGACCCATCCTGAATGTGGCTGTCACCATTCCAAGGTCTGGGATGAACAGGAAGGAGAAAGGGAGCTGAGCGCCAGCCTCCATCTCTCTCTGCTTCCTGACTGGAGACGTGATGTGAGCAGCTGCTTCACGCTCCTGCCCCATGCCTTCCTGCCATGACGGACTGTGCACCCTCGAACTGCGACCCAGAACAGACCCTTCCCCAGTTAAGTGGATTTCTTCAGGCATGGTGTCACAGCAACCAGGAAGGTGGCTGACACAGCCACTTCGTTCAGAGGGCTTCACAGGGTCCTTAGGACTCGAGGAAACATCAGAAGCCTGTGGCAGCCAGTGAAGGGCGACAGTAGGCTCGCAGCACAGTGCTCACGGCTCTGAAGGGAATGAGTAAACTGTAGTCTTTGATTTGATGATTGCACTGACTTCTGAGCTAAAAGAGGGGTGTGTGTGTGTGTGTGTGTGTGTTGTGCACATGTGCTTTCAGGTATACACACCCATGAATGTGCATGAAGAGGCCAGAGGAGGTCAAGTGTCAGCTCTACCACTCTGTACCTAACTCTTGAGACGGGCGCTGTCTTTGAACCTGGAGCCAGGCTGGCAGCCAGCCAGCCTCGGCAATCCTCCTGTCTCTACCTCCCACAGCACAGAGGTTACAGGCATGTACAGCACACTTGACTTTTTATGTGGATGCTGGGGATTTGAACCCGGGTCCTCATGTTAATGCAGCAAGCACTCTTGCCCACTGAGCCATCTCCCTCTTCCTTTTTATGTTTTTTTAGACATGTAGCCCACGCTGGCCTTGAACTCCTATGCATGCAAAGATGAGTGTCGGCTTCGGATCCTCTTGTCTCTGCCTCCTGAACCTCCTGCTGGGATTCCCGATGTGCTCCCAACACCCAGTTCATGCAGAACCGGTGACCAAAGCCAGAGCTTCACATACGCCAGGCAGGCATTGTACCAACCTGGCTGCATCTCCAGCCCCACCAAAGATGAGGACTTATACCAGGAGCAAGAAGCGGTGCTAAGGGTCTGAGCTCTTCATCCCCTCCCACGTCTTCATCCCGACCTCCATGCCCGCACCTCCGCCCATCCCCCTGTACCTCCACCCCGCCCCCACTCTGTCAAGTAGCAACAGTGGTCCCAAGAAACGCTGGACACACCGGCTGCCTGTGTGCCTTACCCGGGTGGAGTGAGCACCTTCAACTCCCCACAGACGTTGTCTCCTCTGGACTCAGGAGGGGGAGAGAAAGAGGGACGAGAGAGGGGGACCCAATACTGATGATGGTTTCCCCTGGGGGACAAGGCTGCCTATAAAAGGCCTTTCTGTCTTATTTCCTTTTCATCCGGCATATACCCCTAAGAGGTCAGTCTAATTATTTCCATTTTTATAGATGATGAAGCTGGGCTCAGAGAGGTGATAAAACTAGCTAATGTCGTTCAGCTCCTAAGGGAAGGTGCCACCATTCAAGCCCTGGCCTTACTGTAATTTCTGCCACATTGTACCAGAGGTGTGAGGCCCTCACACCAACGCGGCCGGGATGTCTGACCCCTGCAAGTCCAGCTTCCACCAGCACTTCAGTGTGGGAGCCTCCTCCAGGCAGGCAGCCCAGATTTCCCCACCACAGGTACAGAGCTGTGGCAACTTTCAGGGTCACCAACTTGCCCCGGGCCAGGATTCAAAATGGATCACAAAAACAACTCTCTCAGAACCAGGCTCTTCTCCCGCTTCGACCCTGCTGAAGACCATGCTTCTCGGGGACGAAAGCGATGTCAGCCTGTTGTTGGGAGGTAGCTCTTTCCAATGACTCATGGTTTGAGGCCTCATGACCCAGGCCAGAAGCTAGGGACTGCCAGGAGAGCCCTCATTAAAATCAAAAGGAAATGGCACGAAAGGGGACTGGTCTTAGTAAACTGTGACTCACAGCTGCAGGGGCAGGTGGACTCATCTCTGGCCCCCATCACCTCTGCAGTGGGGACAGAGCTCGGAGCACCCAGGGACCAGGGAGGGGGGTGTGGGGGTGTGTGTGGGGGGGGGTAGGGATAGTAGCAGGAAGTGGATGGGCAGGGCTGGAGGTGGGGCTGTGGCCCTGTGCCCTGTCTTGTTTACAGGGCTTCACTCCTGTGTTCAAAACCTTTCTTCCCAAATCACACAGCTCAGGGAGCCCTCTCCTCCTGACTCCGTGGAGAAGCTCCCCAGGGACTGGGGCCTCTGGCCCGGGGTGTCTGGGTTCCTTCTCTTGAGGCCCAGCCAAGGCCAGGGAGAGAAGACAGCTGAGGCTTGATGTTGTGGAGAGGGGTCATTGGTCATGCACCCTAGTCACTGCCCCAGACTGAAAGAGAAATCAACTATCGGAAGCTAGGTTTTATAATCGTGGTAATATAAAGTCAAACATAGTCCAGGCTGTATTATACTAATTCTTCTGATTTTATAATAAGTCATGTCCTGAGAAGCACTGTGCTCCCCCAAGGGGCTAAGTTGACCTTGGTTAAGTCCTTCGGGGTTGCCTGGGTCCACATTTGTGGCTCCCCATTTACTGAGGTGTGTGGATCTGTTTCCTCCTCTGTGACTGGAGAATAAGGGAAGCCCAAGTCATTTGGGGCTACTGAGGGCATTGCTTTGGCCTTATTTATGAGTGGCTCACCTGGGGCCCTGCACATGCTCAGTGAGGGCTAGTTCTCCTGGAGGAGGTGAGGCAGGATACCTCTGTCTCTGTAACATAGACAAGAACACTGGTGTGCCAAGCAGGGGCAAAGGCCTTGTGATCGGGATGGACTCAGAAGGCCCCGAGTGATGAGTGAAGCTGATGGTCAGGTTATCTCAGTCAGGGAAGGAGGCAGAGGGGGCCCTTCTGCCATGGAAACGGGACAGACTCGGTGCTTGGCCCTGTGAGAGCTTCCGCGTGTCCACCACACTGGGTCTCATCCACTGAGTTGGTTTACACGGAATGGGTGCAGTACCAAGCATGGGAAAACAGAGCGCAGCCACGGAGAGCAAGGATTACAGCTTTGAAACGTGGGGGTCTGGGAGGTGGGCAGGAGGAAAGATGGCCACAAGACTGCCCCACCCCTGCTCCCACACCCCCTTGGAGGCAGAGTCCCAAGGGCACTAGCTGGCCCCTCCCCTGGGAACTTGGCCAAAGTGTCAAAGCTGGAAGAATTATTGCATCACTGGGCACTCAAGGGTTAATGACGGGGAGTGGGCAGGACCTGTGTATTTAACTAATTGGGAGGTGACCTGAGATCAGAGGCCCCTGCCACTTCCTCCCACCGCAGCAGGCTCCTGTGCCCCGTGCCCCCTGCTTACCTGCCCCAGGATGAAACCTCCCCTTGCCCTGGCCTTCCTTTACCTGCTGGGTAAGTGACCTTCATGACCTCCCCGCTTCCCAGCCCATCTGGCAATAAGAAGCTCTCTGGATGCCTGAGCATGGCCCTGCAGAGGGCATCATGGGTACGAAGTGCTAGAGGCCACCTGGCTTCCCACCAGCCACCTGGTGGCCCTGAGGCGTGTGCTGCCTGAGCTAGCACTGACTGAGGGGGGGGGGGGGGGGGGGGGGGGGACAGGGGGAGCTGAGGAGAACGCAGTGGGAAAGGGAGTGGGGGCCATGGCATCCCCACTGCAGATGGGCACCTCCCCACAGCTCCATCAGAAGGGCATGGAGGAATTTGGGGAGGTCCATAGAGGTGGCTAAGGAAACAGGCACAGGGGGTAGGTGATGAGCTCTTTGTGGGGAGCAGAGTGCTGCTGGGGAGACCAGGGTGAGGTCTGGGGCAACTAAGATTTCTCTGAGAAAGACATAAAGAGTCCGTGGAGAGCCCTGACAGCATGAGCAGGCAGAGGGGAGTGAGGAGCACCGGGTGGGCAGGAGACTACAAAGACAGGCAAGCATGAGGACCAGAGTTCGAATCCCCAAGACCCACATAAAAGCTAGGCATTGTGGCATGCATCTGTAACCCCAGTGCTGGAGGACAGAGATAGGCAGATCCTCCTGGCTTGCTGGCTAGCCAGTCTAACCAAACAGGCAACGTCCAGATTCACTGAGCGATCCCGACTCGAAAACTAAGGTGTGAAGTAATAATGACATTCGATACCAGCCGGGTGGTGGTGGTGGTGGTGGTGGTGGTGGTGGTGGTGGTGGTGGTGGTGGCACACACCTTTAATCCCAGCACTTGGGAGGCAGAGGCAGGTGGACCTCTGTGAGTTCAAGGACAGATTGGTCTACACAGCAAGTTCCAGGACAGCCAGGGCTACACAGAGAAACCCTGTCTTGAAAAAAAAAAAAAGACATCTGATACCAAGCACTGGCCTCCATGGATATGCACATATGGGTCACACACACACACACACACACACACACACACACACACACACACACGGGAGTGGGGAGGGAGAGAGGGAGAATGACAGGGGTGAGATCTAGGGGATTGAAGCTCACCATTGGGGTGCTGTTATCAGTATCATAGTTATTGTTACTGATAACTGGATGCTTTGGGGAGGAAGCTTAACTGAATAGTTGGGGAAATGTCTGGTGTCAGATCTGAAGGTGCTTCGTGATAGGGCCTTGGATGAGAGGCTCACTGGCCCTGAAGGACCTTATGGCCTCTGCCTCCTCTGCTGCAGTGTCCCCAACCGGCGGGAACCTGGTCCAGTTTGGAGTGATGATCGAGAGGATCACGGGGAAGTCTGCGCTGCAGTACAATGACTATGGTTGCTACTGTGGTGTCGGTGGTTCCAACTGGCCAGTGGACCAGACTGACTGGTGAGCGGGAGGAGCAAGGAGGGGGGGGGGCAGGGAGCGGGAGGAGCAAGGGGGGGCGGGGAGGCAGCCAGCGAGGAAGGAGGCGCCAGGGGCACCCAGGCCAAAGGGACTTGAGTCCTGGGACCCCAGCAGCTCCTGCTTCCAGCCCAGTCCCACCCCTCTAGGTTAACTATGACCTCACAGGTGCTGTCACGCCCATGACTGCTGCTATGGACGCCTGAAGAAGCTGGGCTGTGAGCCCAAGCTGGAAAAGTACCTCTTCTCTGTTGGTCGGGACACCATCTCCTGTGGTAGGTGGCCAACCCAGGAATGAGCCAGACCCTGGGTAGGCAGGAATCCCTCCAGCTGGTGACCTTGGTCCTTGTCACAGGGCCAGACCCATTAGGCCTCCCGTTATCACATAAGAGCGGCGACGCTTGTCCATCTGTTCCTATTCTTACCGGGCATCTGGGCCCCACAGTGGTGTGTGACCCACCACTGTAGCCTGTGCCCTGCCTCAGCCTCTGGGAGGTGAGCAGAGAGGACTGAGTGGAGCCACACTTGGAGCTGGATTCACACACCCTTCCCCTGGGAGGGGCCAGGAGGAGCTTTGACTCTGGACAGCGGGCCCTGTTCTCACAAGCTGTTCGCCCCTACTGGGGCTGCGGGGCTGGGCCCGCCTCCTCCTCCTCCTCATTGCCAAGTTCAATGCCCATTCGGCCCTGTTAGCTTCAGCTGGGGAAACAGCCAAGCGCAAGAGTGCCCAAAGGGCACTTAAATCAGAGGGTCCAACTTTCTTCCCAGTGCAAAGTCAGGATGGTTCAGGGTCTGGTGGGTGTGGGATGCAGGGAAGGACCCAGGCAGTCCAAGGAATGGGCTCAGCACACAACTCAGAGGTCTGTGCCCAAGTGAGCCAAGACCAGCATCACTGAGGCCGAGTTGACTCAGACTGTCTTGACCTGCAGCAGATCATCCCTCAGCAGGGCAGCTGAGTCCTTGGCAGGCAAGGGTAGGCTAGACCCCAGGTGAGATGGTGCTGAGAGGATGTTAGGGCAGGAGTCAGGTGGAGGGGACGCGTACTGTGCCTCGTGCCCACCGCGGTACTTTGAGCAAGGGGACGAGCTGTGGAAAGCCTGTATGAGTCCTTGCCTCTTATACTGAGATGGCCACCCCATCTCCCCAGCCAACCACCGTCAGGACCTCAGAGCGCAGTCCTCTCAGAGTCCTGCTGAAACAGCAGGTGTGGGCAGAATCCTGAAGGGAAATGTTCATCTGTGAGGGGGAAATGAGGCACCAGACCCTTCTAGACAGGGAGGTGGATTCCTGGGGACTGAAGAGCCAGAGCCACTCTGGGCAGAAACAGACAATCACCATGGATTGAAATAAGGCTTCTAGGCAGCTGGCGCCTGCCACGCTGATGCCATCTGGCTCTGGGGGGAGGTGAGGGGTGGGGCAGTCTGATGCTCAGGCTAGGTGCAGGGTCTGTCTACTCTGACAGAGGCAAGCCCTGAGAAGGCGTTAGCACTAGTCTAATAGCCTCCAGCCTGGACTGTTGACTGTCTATTGACTGTCACTAATGATATCCTCACAAGGGGAAGGGATGTTATGGCCCCGGCCAGAGGAAGAGGAGAGGTTGTGAAGCTAGTGTCCTCTCGAGACAGGAGAGGGTTAACGCCGTGTGAGTGGGCTTGGAGAGGAAAGGAAAACCCAGGGCAAATTTTGGCTTTTTTAGTGTCTTGGGCCTGGCCAGCCAACCCCCACCCAGTCCTTAATTGGCAAAAGTACGGGACATGCCCTTGAGTGTGGGCTTCCACAGGAAGTGGGGACGTGGCTGAGGATGGGGCTGGGGAGCTGGACCGCAGAGTAGCCAGGAGCCACGCCCATCCAGTGGCTGGGGGCCCGAGGCTCCATCCCAGTCCCCGGCTTGTTTGTTTCTTCCGCCCTAGCTGGTAGGAGCTCTTGCCAGCGGCAGACCTGTGAGTGTGACAGAAGGGCCGCGCTCTGCTTCCGCCACAACCTGGGCACGTACAACCGCAAGTATGCGCACTACCCCAACAAGCTGTGCACCGGGCCCACCCCACCCTGCTGAGGCCCCACTGGTCTCCCCAACCACCCCAGGTGGCTGCTGTCCCAGGCCAGGAGAAGCTCGGAACGCAAACCGCTCTCCTGCAAACCCGACCCCCCCCCCCCTCAGAGCTCACAGGCCCTGGCCTCTGGGACCACACCTGCTCCCCAGGATCAGCTAAAGGAGCCACGGGACCCTTTAGCGCCCACAAGACCAGCTAAGTCTCCCCGGCACCTCGGTTCCCTCTTCTAAACAAGAGAATTCTATTTCCCTGCAAGTCTAGCATTCTTCCATTGCCTTCCCAGAATTTAGACGGTAGTTTCCTTCACTCACGCGTCCATCCATTCAGTCAGTCATCTGCTGAGCACCTAGCCTGGGCCAGTGCAATGCTAAGCACCGCCGCGCAGGAGGGACAGATGGGACACCGTGGCTCCTGCCTGCAGGGCCGGCAGTAAATCCTTTGTTTTCTACAGCAGTAGGTTCCCATGCATCCATGCTGCTCAGTCCACCGCCTGAAACTCACTATGTGGACCAGTCTGACCCTGAAATCCCATAGACCCACCTGCCTCTGCCTCCTGAGGGTTGGGATGAAAGGTGTGCGTCACTACACCTGGGATGGGCTCCTTTTTTTTTTTTTTTTTTTTTTTGTCTACAGTCTTATCCAAGACTGTCATGTTTCTCTCTGGGAGGAACATTTCCGGCCAAATGGCTTACTGGGAGAAGCATAAAAAATACCAACCTAAAACACTGTCCCCATTGTCATCATCCTCAAAACGCCCCCACCAGCAAGGACTGATGTGGATGGGAAAGTTGCCTTAGATCCATCTTGCCCAACTCTCACTTAAAAAAAAAAAAAAAAAAAAAAAACTTGTTTGTTTTTTTTGTTTTTGTTTTTTTGAGGCAGGGACTCGTGTAGCCCAGGCTGGCTTTGAACTTGCTATATAGTCAACAATAACCATGAACTTCTGATCCTTCTGCCTCCACCTCCTAACTGCTAGGATTACATGCATGAACTATCATAGCTGGTTTTACGAAGTGCTGGGCATGGAACCCCAGGCACCCAGCACTTCATGCATGCTAAGCAAACACTCTATCAACTGGGCCACATCTCTAGTCCAATTCTTTTTTTTTTTTTTTTTTTTTTTTTTTTTTTTTTTTTTTTTTTTTCGAGACAGGGTTTCTCTGTGTAGCTTTGTGCGTTCCTGGAACTCACTCTCTAGATCAGGCTGGCCTCGAACTCACAGAGATCCGCCTGGCTCTGCCTCCCGAGTGCTGACGGATGGGTATCTGAGGGCCAGAGAGCACACACTCTTCCCAAGAGGTGTCCTCTCCAGGTCGTCCCCTGCTTCAAGCAGTTGGCACCAGCTACCTCCTCACCCCAGTCTGGTGTGGCTGTGTTGATCGGACCTAACAGAGGCCAAGTCCAGATGTCCAGGCAGGTCAGGTGAGCACACACAGCTGGCTCAGGCTCCTAACAGCAAGAAGAGAAAGGAGTTCACCCCGCTGGGCCCACTAAAGGATTCCCAGCGGGAGAGGCCTGCAGCTTCTCCGGAAGCAAGGTGCTCAGGCAGATTTTACCCCCAGCTACAGCTGTGATACCTCCACCGCCTGTAGCAAGTGAGCAGTAGCCTAGGGTTCGAGAAGAGCCTGCTCCTTCGCACAAAGCCGCGTAAACACTGCGCAGGGCGAGTCTCACAGGGGACACTGGATGAAAAACATCCACTCCCTTTGTCCTTTTCATGGTACAACACGATCTCTGCCAGCGTGACATCAAAGGGATGCGTCATCGGGGAACTTTGAAGGTGACGCATCTCATTGCTTGAAAAGACAGAGGTGGGCGGCAGGTGCGTCTGTTGTAACCAACTCTAACCACCGGGGAAACACGGCCTTAAAGCAAAAGAAGCTGGTGAGGGATGCCAGCCTGACCCTCATTCCGCAGGAAGTGTGGTCCCATGGCGCCCTCTGGTGTCCATCTGCTTAGATGGTTAGGAAGACTATCACCGGCTCTGGTTTATACCGGGGTTTCCTAACCTTTATCAGGTGGGCAAAGTGCATGCTGGGCTAGCGACGCTCTCAACAGTTAATATGCCAAGAGACCACCGAAGGCGGCCTCAATAGGATGACGATGGACCTAATGAAATGGGCAAGTCCAGCAATGGAGGTTGCAGGGTGCCATTCGGGCGGGAAGGCCAGAGGTTATTTCTGGGCATGGTTTGATTTGAGGTACAATGGGATGTTCTTGACAGATTTATAATGGTATAACTATCCCATAAGTGAGAGACATGAAAACAGGACTCCTGAGTAAGCAGCCTGCAGTGACCCAGCTCCTACCTTAGACCAGGCCGTGAGCCTGTGGGCCAGAGGGCCTTTCTGTTTTCCCAGGTCTCAATAAATATCCAACGAGTGAGCTGAGGAATCTGTATAGATCCCATTTGCATGTGTGTGACCTCGGTACAAACACTGGACACCGGAGCTCAAGACTTGTGGAAATGGCTGGCAAAAAAAAAAAAAAAAACCTGACCTTGAAGTACACACCTGTGTCCTTCCACTTCCCAGAAGCAGAGTCTAGGGCAGTGGTTCTCAACCTGTGGGTCCTTCGGCCCCTTCAGGAGTTGCATATCGGATATTTACATTATGGTTCATAACAGCAGCAAAATTACAGTTAGGAAGTAGCCATCAAAATAATTTTATGGTCGGGGTCAGGACCACATGAGGAACTAGCTATATTAAAGGGTCACCACGTTAGGACCATTGAGAATTATTGCCCCAGGTCCCTGATTCTCCAGGAGGCTGATGGACAGACAGCAGCAGCAGCTGCAGCTGTGACAGTGGGAGCCACATGGCTATCGATGTCAGCCCTGATGCCAGGCCTGCTGTAGCAGAGTCACTAGGTTAACAGGACCCTCAGGTGTGTAGGAAACCTAGAAGCTGCCAACTGTCACAACCTAAGTGTCGGCACAAGTAAGATGGAACAGCACAACAACCCTGTGCTAAGGTTCAGTTAAATATATATAAAGTACGTTTATATGCCTACCATATAAACAGGCACTTGTGTCCTAAGAACTGATGGCTGTCAGAATAGCAATGCTACCTAACATTAAGCAGTTGGCATTTACAGAATAGCCCTTGAGTGCTTTACGTGAATTCGATGGATGGATGGATGGATGGATGCATGGATGGATGGATGGATGGATGGATGGATGGATGGATGGATGGATATGTAGATGGATGGATGGGGAGATACATGAATGCGGGGGGCGGGGAGTGAATGAATGGATGGGTGGGTGATGGATAGATGCATACATATGTGGGTGTGAGGAGATGAGTTGATAGATACATGGGCAGATGGACACATAGATGTATGCATGTGTGCATGGATGAGTGGGTGGGTAGACAGATGGGTCCATGGAGGATGGGTGGATCCATGTTTGTGTTGTGGTAGGGGTCTCTGAGAGCCAGGGGGGGAAAAAAGCAAAAAAATAGTCACATGGGCCACTCAATGTCCTTGAATATACATAAACGTGACATTTCTCCTGCACCCTCTCCTTGCTTAGTAAGCCTTCCCAGAGATTTTGAAAGTTGGAGAGACTGCCATGTGGTTTAGTCTCTGCCAAAATGCTTATGTAGGATCTTGTGTGGTGGTCTGAAAGAAAATGGCTCCCAAAGGGAATGACACTATTAGGAGGTGTAACCTTGTTGGAGGAAATGTGTCACTGTGGGGTTGGGCTTTGATGTCTCAAGTTAAACCCAATGAGACAGACCACTTCCTGTTGCCTGCAAGATGTAGGGCTCTCAGCTACTTCTCCAGCACCATGTCTGCCTGCAGGCCACCATGATGATGATGGATTAAATCTCTGAACTATAAGCAAGCCACCACAATTAAATGTTGAACTTTATGGGAGTTGCCGTGGTCATGGTGTCTTTTCACAGCAATAGAAACCCTAACTGAGACAGAAGTTGGTACCAGGGACTGGGATATTGCAGTGATAGGCCTGACCATGTGTTTGTTTGGAGGGATTTGGACTTTGGTACTTTGGGGTAGTACTTTAAGTGCTACTTAATGAGCCATACCAGCAAGGGCATGGAAGACAGTGGTGCTAAGAGTGATTTGAGGGGCTGGCTCAAGAGGTTTCAGAGGAGAAGAATTTTGGTATGTTGCCTAGAGATCATTCTTGTGATATTTTGGTGAAGAAAGTGGTCGTTTTTTGCCCTTGTCCGAAGAGTCTGTGTTAATCCCACTGATTGAGAATAAGACCACTACCACAGTTTAAAGCCAAATTTGAAGCAAGCTTTAATTAAATACTGGCCAGGTAGATGGAATCTGACCGGGTCCATATCCAGGTTCCTGGGAAATGGCCCAGAATCACAGTTTACAAAGGTTTAGAAGGAAACCCACAATTCATTGCATTTCCCATCAGGCCCAATTAGGGACAAGCATACATCCTGCTGTACCTCTAGCCTACATCCAATCAGGGGCAAGTGTACATCCTGATGTACTTTCTGCCTGTGAACCTCCTACCCACATGTGACCATGTGTAGATGGGTCAAAAAAACTTGTTCAGGGGAGTGAAAACATGTGACTTGTTATCTCTCATAAACAATAGCATTTCAAGAACTATCTGTCCTTGAGCAGGAGTTGCAGATCAGAGGCATTTTTGTTTCATTGATCTCTTAGGCATAGTAATTACAACTTAAAATGTAACTCTGGCTCTTACATTCCCCGCTTCAGTTGTATCCTGAGTCAAACCCTTGACTCTGTGATGGGTACCTGTTTATATTGGGATTGAATAAACATCAACTTAATGGTACCCAAACAGGAATTATCATTTAGTTAAGGCATCAATTACTGAATTCCCCCCAAGTGCCTGCCTTGAGGAGATTTATACCAGGGTCAAGAACAGATGCCACAAGCAGCTAAGGATTCTAATCTGAGGGATATTCAATGAATCTAAGCACACTGAGTTCGTTAGTCCATTCACTTTATTCTTCAAAGTCAATTCTACCTACTCAGTTTCTTTTCTGTTCTCATACTTAGCTCCTCTTGGTTCCTCCTGCTCTCAGTCCCTCCTGCTGTTCTCTCATAATTCTACCTAGTTCTTTCCATCTCCGTCCTCATCTTTGTTCTTCTCCATCAATTCCCTCTTCTGCTGTTCTCTCATATCTACCTAGTTCTTTCCATATTCCTCTGCTCTTTATTCCCCCCCACCACCACCCCAAGCATATACATATATATATCCATTCATTAACAACTTGTTAGTAAAAACTACAAAGTAAACTCTCAGGGATAAGTATTCTGATAAGAGTCACACTTGGCAAAGACTTGTGCTGTGGATATCATTCTGTATAAATAAAACACTGACTGGCCAGTGGCCAGGCAGGAAGTATAGGTGGGACAAGCAGAGAAGAGAATTCTGGGAAGTGAAAGGCTGAGTAGGGGGGACCTGCCAGCCGCTGCCATGACAAGCAGCATGTGGAGATGCCAATAAGCCACGAGCCACGTGGCAAGGTATAGATTAATAGAAATGACTAAATATAAGAGTAAGAGCTAGACAATGATAGGCCTGAGCTAATGGCCAAGCAGTTTAAATAATATAAGCGTCTGTGTGTTTATTTTATAAGTGGGCTAAGGGACTGGTGGAGCTTGGCAGTAGCTGGAGAGAAATTCTCCAGCTACAGACTTGGTTAAATTAATTGGTGACTAACAACAGCTGTAGGCTGTAAAAACTTCTGGCTATCTCTTAAAGGTTATAAAGAAGGAAATTAAACCAATGAGAGATTTAAGGAAAAGGCAAAGAATACATGTATTAATTTATGTGATTAATAATATCCAGATATGGTTAGTCAATTAGCAGCCTTTTTCTGTTAGTCACCTGAATGAATCTCAGGACCCATATTTGATTAGTGTACTGAGCCTAAAATCTTGCGTTAAAAACTGGTGTAGAAGTATATGCAAAGTGTTAGTTTTTTTTTTTAGTTAGAGGTGGGAGGTGCCGGTGGAGGAAGCGTAGGGCAACATAGGTGCTGTTGATCTCTTGAAGGACTGAGATATACCAAGGCCAGACACCTATACTATCATTTCTGGTTCACTATAATTCTTCTGAAGAGTTTTGATCCAACAAGGCCAGGCACCTGCAGTTTGGCTCTGTGAAAGTTCCACGAGGACACTTTGTCTGGCCAGTATTTCCCTTGTCAGTGGCTAAGGAGGGAGAGTTAGACTTCTAAGTGTCTATAGTCCACATGGGACAATAGACCTAGTATGAAGCATATTTTAGTATGTTTCTTGTAGCTAGAGTTTTCCTGCCTGGCCACAGTCAGGACAAATCTCTGTCATCTGCCAGTCCCACAGCCGCTCAGACCCAACCAAATAAACACAGAGACTTATATTGCTTACAAACTGTATGGTCATGGCAGGCTTCTTGCTAACCTTTCTTATAGCTTAAATTAATCCATTTCCATAAATATATACCTTGCCACGTGGCTCATGGCTTACCGGTATCTTCACATGCTGCTTGTCATGGCGGTGGCTGGCAGTGTCTCCCTCTGCCTTCTTGTTTCAATTCTCCTCTCTGTTAGTCCCGCCTATACTTCCTGCCTGTCCACTAGCCAATCAGTGTTTTATTTATTGACCAATCAGAGCAATTTAACATACAGACTATCCCACAGCACTTCCCCTTTTCTTTCTTTTTTTTTTTTTTAAAAAAAAGAGGAAGGTTTTAACTTTTACACATCTCCAAAGCCAGCTTGGTATATTTGGGAATTTGGGTGTAGCTTCTTTTACTACTTTCTGCTGGAGGGGGATGCTGTATCTTATGGGGACACAAAGAAAATTTTAGGATTATGGAGTAGTCCGTGAGGGTGTATCATCTGAGCCAGTTGCCTTGAAACAGTTTTGGATGTTGGATCATCTGGGCCATGGTGCCATCGGAGACCTTTCAGGGGGTCTTGGTTGGTCAAACCTGATGTACCTTAATCTGGAACAAATTCATAGCCTCTGGCTTTCTGTGGAAACAAAAGCAGAGCCTCTTTTCCAAAGCATATCCTTATATCCAAATTTTGAAGTCAAGGTACCTTTAAAATATACATTTTGGCATAACTCAACAGCTTTTGCAAGCAAATGTTTTTCTTCAGTTACAAATATCAAAGAGAACATAATCCAGATTCTCTGTGTGGTAGCCATCTTTACGTGGCTTATTTTTTATATTACCTTGAGTCTATTGCTTTAAACTGCAGCATTCTAAGACTGAACCGGTGTTGTGGCTGCTGGCTCTGCCCACTTCAGCTTCCCAACATGGCGGTGGTACGTTTTCTGCCAGCTCTGGGAGCCCTCAAGTCTCAGAAATAGTGGGTCTATGCTTTTATCAAAGCAGCGTGTAACCCAGAAACTTCTTTTATGTTTTGTACTAGCAAAGGCTAAATCCACCACACAGCTTAATGTGCCACTTGCAGAGGCCTCATTCGCACCATACTGCAGGTTGAGCGTGCACACCAGGAACCTGCCGTAGTAGATAGTAGGTCAAACATGCAGGCTGCCGCTAACTTGAGAGAGACAACTAGGAACTGTTTTTAGCTCCGTTTTAGAATCTTTTTTTCTTAGGTTTTAGGTGGAAACTCTTGCCAACACGTTGGGCGCCATTTGTAGCTAGAGTTTTCCTGCCTGGCCCACAGTCAGGACAAATCTCTGTCATCCGCCAGTCCCACAGCCGCTCAGACCCAACCAAATAAACACAGAGACTTATATTGCTTACAAACTGTATGGTCATGGCAGGTTTCTTGCTAACTGTTCTTATAGCTTAAATTAATCCATTTCCATAAATCTATACCTTGCCATGTGGCTCATGGCTTACCGGTATCTTCACATGCTGCTTGTCATGGCAGCTGGCAGTGTCTCCCTCTGCCTTCTTGTTTCAATTCTCCTCTCTGTTAGTCCCGCCTATACTTCCTGCCTGGCCACTGGCCAATCAATGTTTTGACCAATCAGAACAATTTAACATACAGACTATCCTACAGCTTCTATTCATAAAAATTATACAGTTAAATAAGAAATCATCTTCTAGACTATCCACAATTATGTGTGCCCATAAGATTGAGATGCAGTCATGAGATTACATGTACACATAACATCGAAGTACATGGTAAATGGGGAGAATCATAGTTGTTATTGCACA